TCTTATAAGCGAGTACAGACGGTAATGCTTGTTGGTAGATGAAGGTGACGGCCCATACAGAATTAATTGGAGAAGGATGCAGGTAAAGAAAACTACAAGTACAAGCTATGCAGTCTGGGTGGTGTTCTTTTGTCAGTTATGTGTGCTGTTTTCTAACAAAATTTTAAAAAATCATTGCTGGCCAATATGAATATTTTTTAAAACTACTAACTACATCGCGAAATCAGTCATAACTGAAAATCAACTAAATCCTGATTTAAATTTTTAACTTTTTTCTTGCCAAAGAATATCTATTAAGAACAAATTAGAAAGCTGTTTGCGTGTGTGTGATTTTTGTGTCTGATTTTGATTTTTAACGTAGCTTTAAAACTTTTTCATTCATATCGCGACTATGTCTGTGACAGTTTAAATGATGTCTAACACTGGGGCACCATACCGTAGACACAGGATGATGTCTAACCATGTCACATTATTCTGACACCAGACCTACCAGTCATAACACTAACCTCTTAATGCTGAACGCCAGGCAAGGCAGCTGTTAGTACCATTTGTATAGTCTTTGGTATACCTCGGCCTGATCTGAGGCGGACGCTCTAACCACCAGGCCACCGGAGCGGTCAGAAAGCTGTTTGCATCTTCAGAAATACTTTAATAAGATGCTGTCATTGGTAAGTAGTCCGAGTTTCCTCTGACCCTTGGCCCCCCCCTTTGATATTTGGACATTTATGTTGGGGAGTATGGTCAGAGTCCTTTCCCTGTCGAAAAATTGGAAGCCGCTTACTAGCCAGTCAAGCAAAATTTAATGACCTTTCATCGGGACATACCTGCTTGAAACCGATAGGAATATGATTTATTTTCTCAGAAATAGCGATTGTAGCATTCGTTATAAGTTTTAATCCGCTGAGAGACCGAGATTCAACTATAGCGTTGATGAAATTTGACCTGGACCTCGTCATCTGCATTCCAAGTCACATGACTGCACAAATTTCGTAACTTACATGTCTGTAGGGAAGGGACTCTGACCTTACACCCCACCATAAATTTACGAATATCAAAAATTAGGTGGCAAGGATCAGAGGAAACTCGGACTGAATGGTTAGTTGTTGTTGTTGTTGTTTTGGGGCTTAACGTCATTTTTCAGCACACGAGAGGCTATTCATGACGGCCAGTATTAATGGTGGAGGAAGAAACCGGGAAATCCACGGAAAGAACCACCGACCCACGAGAAGCTACTAGCAAGTTTTCTCAGATATCCACATTCGCCGAATTTTAAGACTAGAACCCACGCAGACAGAGGTGAGATGGCAGTGAACCGTAACGGAGAGCGCTTTAGAACACTCTGCCCCTCAGGGCCCCCAAAACTGGATAGTAGATAAGGCGCAGGGACTCACACACACACACACACACACACACACACACACGCACGCGCGCGTCTATAATGGTTTAAATGTAAAGCCAGTAAACTGCTCACTGACCTTAGCGATAATTAGGGAAAATCGAGTAAGGTACTAATTTAAAAATAACAAACAAAAAACAACATAAAACATTTGAATGATAAATGACTAAATTTAGTTAATTTTCTGTCTCCCACCTACAATGGCGACGTGTCATTTGTATAACGGGGAAATAAAATATAATCTCAATCCCAATTCAGTGACTGTTACGATTCGCATCATTGCCTCGTTCTCGAAACGGTCCTAGTACGGAAGTCAAGGCCGACAATAATCAAACTGGGGACTGAAAATGTCTGTTCCAATTTATATTAATAGGATGAACATATTTTTGAAAATAAAGACGTATCTTTTGTTTTATAAAACTTTGTTTAGCAGTAGACTGGTTTGTCTCCTGTATTAATAGTTATGTTAATATTATGGTATGACGCTTGAGATTAAAATAGAAATAAAATATAAATTTTGATATGAAATTCACCAATTGTTATTTTCCAATGTATTACTTCGAAGACTTACTATAGCTATCTTCATCGTTTAAAAGATGCACGATCCTTTGTTTTTGCCCGGTACAATAATCGTTCACAATCTTTTTTGTTATCAAGGAAATTGTAGCAGATTGACATTTATTCCTTCCTCTTAGATTCGATCTCCCAGATAAATTCTTGGGGGAAAATCCTTTTTATTTCACAAAGAGTATATTTCAATAATGAAAAAAAAAAGAGCATGACAAAATTTCTTCTAAAGTTAGCTTTGATTGAAATTTACAACTATAGCGCTCCCTTATATATAATAAGTCAGTATTAATTATATATTATAGACATTTTTATATATTTTCCATTTTCTTTAAATTCTACATTAATAGTCTGTTGTCAAATGAAGGCACAGACACGCATTTCAATAGAAACAACAGCAGAACTCATTACGATCGTTATTACAGTGAGCATAGTTTTAGTCATCGTCGTTAGTAAATGTAATGTGGAATATGTCCACACGTTTGATCAGCTTTTCCGAGCGGATTTAACATAACTGCTGAAAATTTTCATCCTTTTTTTCTTTGCAATGGTTGCACACGAGAGTTGTTCAAATTATTTATTTTGAAACAGATTGAGCAAACTCAAAATTACGTATTCAGGGATGTAGACAATCTTGGTTCTTTACCGTTCACCTGCACATTAAACTTACGATTTTAAGATTAGGCCGTAACTGGTCACCCACAAACTATTCCTGAATATTTTAGACACATTATTTTTGCCCAAATAAACGCATATCGTTTCCAATAATAATTAGAGCATCTTATTTTGAAACGTAGCGTGTAATTACATTTAGATTTGTGTATAGTAAAAACTAAACAGAAAACACAAAGTTCATGTAAATATGCTACCCATTATTTATTTTGATTAACCATTTATGTTAGAGTTCGCACAAATTTGACCCATAAATCTGGTTGGAATTAATTTGAGCATCACACCTAGTAGTTATATTTATTTTTGAAAGATTTGAGGTATTAAACTTTAGTCATTTGAACTGAACGTATACATGCTCTTTAAACGTAAAAAAATTAATTTTGAGTTTAATTTTGTTTTGTGTTCAAGTTACATGGGGTTTTACTTTATACTCAAAGATATGTAACGTTTATTATAGTGTATTACTGTGAAGGCTCCAAGTTTCCGGTACAAATAAGTTTCCGGTTCAGGGATTTTAGGGACATCCATCTCTGATCTTAGTAGCAACACACTGTGCAGTTCAATTATGTGCCTTGCTGTAATATTTTCAATAATTTCTACTCTCTCCGGGGTCCAAATTCATTGGTAATAAAAGAAAAACAAAATCCTTGCACCAAAAGAGGCACGTGCTGGAACAATGTAGCTGAATGTGATATCTTTGCCGAAGGGTATCCAACTACTCGGCTAGGTTGTGTTAGACAGGCGCCAACCAATTTTCGTTCACCAAATGTTCAAAGATAACGATCGCAAAATAATATTGTTTCTAGTTCCTGATCTTAACGCAGTTCTGCCTTAAATCAGTTTCAGAGGGATCTGTCCTTTACACCCATTTAATTAAATATTTACCCCCAAGGTTAATTACAAATGGACCTGATATTAAAAATTATTAATTTTGGTTCGTTCGTCGGAATAACGCTTCATCTGTATGTGTTTCAATAAAATATGATCTGTGGTGATGTTAAGAAAATAATATTTCAAAATTGTGTGAATTTTTAATATGAATAAAATATTTGTATTACTTTCTTTGTTCATGGACAGTATTTAATTTTTCTCTCATCATCGAATAATTCCCAAGAAGCAGTTATTGATAATATTGCTTTTTTTTTATAAAAAAAAATACCGTAATGAAGTTTCCGGGTTCAACAATATAGAAAAATAAAGTAATTTATAAAGGCTATATATCTCAGACTAATTCTGCATAGTAAAACTGATGCAGTCGAGTAATCTAGTACATAACCTAATTTCTAAGTTTACGGTGTGTGTAGCATTTCTTATACAATTAATTTTCATAATACTCTGTAATTTAAAATGTTAAAGAGTGTGTATTGAAGCCTGTCTCAAAATAATTCAGAATGTACATGAAATATCATTTCCCTTCTAACCAGTCTGGATAAGAGGTATGGGTTCAGGAATCACTTCAACAAATACTAATTATGAAATCATATCCCAGTCTGTTTAATGGAAATATTCAAGATCAACAATTCTGAGATGACTGATTTTTTTTAAAAAAATGCAATCTAGCAAAATAATAATTTAATATATTGTAACAAACCAGGGGTCTTTGCTTGACCGAACGCTTTCAAATTACCCCGAATTTCCAAAAGGTTCTATACAACTTTAATTGTAAGTTAGAAAGCCTGACGTGTCCATTCTATACATAGATTTTACTCTAATCAATGCAAGACCAAATTATTCACAACTTGCCAAATATTTATTAACCGCACATCTGCATGGTTTTTCTTCATCACCTTTCCGTACCGTCTGAAGTTCACGCTATAGAAAATATACAACTATTCCCTAACACAGGGAATTATTTTAAGTACGCCATCTTAGGTCAGTCAGTCTATGGTTTCAAGGCACATCACGCCAGTACAACTGCATCACATTTGCCACCATGGCTACATAAACGGTATCTGTCGAGTCCCTTGTTTACACATACCGTAAATGCTGCCATTGCAGTCACATTACAAATGTATACCACTAGATTTTAATAAGGACTACATTATTCCAGGGACAGTCATGCGGTTTGGTTCTAAATTCGTTTATCATTGGCCAAGGCATGGAAACTTACTAATACTTTCCCTCCGTGACGTTTGCTCCTAGTAACTGGCTAATTATTTCGGGCAAAGGAAGATGTCCAATTGCACCGAATTCCAATAACCAAACAAGTAATCACACAAACTTTAGAATTGCTTAAACGGTGCGCTATAACCAAATGTGCATCTCCTACATTTCATTAAACTATTTACTGACACATAACAAAATCCGACATCCTTAAAAAGTCAATGATGACTATTTTTAGGTTAATCTCCATTCACAAACGAATAGATCGCTCCGATGGCATACATGGTTAGAGCGTCCGTCTGAAGTGCGGGAGGTCGCGGGTTCGAACGCTGGTCGGTCTGGTCTGGAGTCGGGATAAAATTACTGGGTGTAACACGATGCTGCATTGCGGCAGTTTATAGTGATGTCTGGCACTGGAGCATCATGCCGCAGACATGCATCATGATTTCCCACCCAGTCACATTATCCTGACACCAGGCCGACCAGTCCTAACACTAGCCTCTTAATGCTGAGCACCAAGAGAGGCAACTATTAGTACCATTTTATGTCTTTGGTATGACTTAGCTGGGGTTCGAACCCGCGACCTTCCGCATCCGAGGCGGACACTCTAATCACTTTTGCACTCGGAGCGGTGTTATAATAATAATAATAATAATAATAATAATAATAATAATAATAATAATAATAATAATAATAATAATAATAATAATAATAATAATAATATGTTTTTAATCAATGTATAGTTTTGCTGTGTAATTTAATCTTAATACGTGTGCACAGTATTCGAATCAGTTACAATAATCTTTCTGTAAACAATGTTGAGGTGGGTAAAACACGCTGATGCAAACGTTAAAGTCTTAGCCAGTTTTAAAGTAAAAATATATCGAAAAATAAGCACTTTTTATATTGTTGACCATCAACCGAATTATATTTGAAATAGGGAATAGTTTTCCAGCTTGCAAAATAGTCTTTCCACGTAACCTTTTCATCAACGGTACCGATCTCTGAGTTCATCTTGTATTGTGTTTGAATCTGTCATCTCATTAAAAGCTTATCACGTGATAAAGTAAGAGATAAAGGAAAGAATAGCCGGAATGAACAATACTGTTGCCTGTATCTTTTAGTTAATCTCGTTTCCCACATGGCACTGACAAGACTCGCGCTAAACAAAAGCGTCGTTCTTTGCTTTCAGTTTACGCAAGAGGTCCGTCTTCAACTTGCGCAAATTTTAGTCCGGGTTAATAAATCACTCGTAAGTGAGCTGTAGCTTCAAAGTCAGACTTAATTGTCCCTTATGTAACACAAGCCATTGTTGGAATCTATTTTAAAATGCGTTATAATAAGTGGAAAGAATTGTTATGAAAACATTTGTCATCCGGTGAACCATGTACAATTAAGGTGTATGATGCAGTTTCAAATTCAAAATAACACAAACAAGGAGTTGTATTACTTTTAAAAAATGTATCTTGTTTTCAACTATTTTATATGAAAGACATTTCCATCGCAATTGAAATTTTTTACGCAATGCATATTGCTATAATGAACGTGTTAAATGTTTAGATCTCTCTCTCTCCCTCCCCTTCCCCCTCTCTCTCTCTCTCTCTCTCTCTCTCTCTCTCTCTCTCTCTCTCTCTCTCTCTCTCTCTCTCTCTCTCTCTCTCTCTCTCTCTCTCTCTCTCTCTCTCTCTCTCTCTCAGATTAAATTTAAAAGTTCCTTGATAGTCTCTGCGTCCAGTGATACTCGTCATGTACAAGACTTGAAGCAAAGTGGAATTAATTTTTTTAATACTATAACTTTAACTTATGTAAGGTTGTCTTTGGGGTTTTTTCATACCTAAAGCCATTTTTCGTCAATGCGAGTGCTGACGATAACATTTAAATCAACAAATACTTCTCTAAGTCAATAAGCTCTAAGTCAGGACCGGATCTGGGGTTTCAGGTGTCCCAGACCCCCTTCCCGCTTAAAAATGGTTCACAAAAACGTACAGTGACTTATCTCTTGAAATTTGACCATCTTTTTTTTCTTGCATATGTTTATCGGGTATTATAGAGTAAATAGACACATAGACTTTTGCTTCGGTGTTCGTTTGACGAAAGTCATGGGCATTTGAAAACACACTCCCTCCCCCAACACTTGACCTGTTCCAGCCCTTTTGAGTAGCCAGCAAATTTTGCTGCCCATCAGCTTAGAAAACAATACCATCCACAAATATATTAGGTAGTATGAAAAATAGGTCACATAAACCTTTTTTTGACACAGAAATGAGGTTCGAAATCGATTGGACTTTGTCATATATAGACCAAATCGCAAAAACCTGACAGTTAATGTTTGGTGAAAAAAGTAAAAAGTTCAGGAATCATCAACATCTATTTTCAGACAATACAAGAAAGAGTACAATATACTTTTACGGACCTAACATAAAGTCTTGATATAATGAAAAAGCGATAAGAATACATACTAACTGCATTACGCATGTTTTCACATTAGTAAAATGAGTACCCTCAAAAACCACAAACATACAGTTTTATGTTAGGACGGACAATACTCTAGGATATATGATACTAAATTGGGGCTCAGTAACCTAGTTTGGAAAGTATCTGTTCTGCATGTACACACCAAGTTTAATACAGCAACAAGAAGATGGTATGCAAATACTAGAATAAAACGTTAAAAGAAATAACTTACTTAATGCAGCAAAAACATAAACGTCAGCAACATTAAATACTTTCACATGCGTGATGCAAAATTAAATCTAACATATTTTCTTCCTGGCATCCATTTGTTTGCAATTACCCTACAACTGCGTAATTCGTACCGATATCTTAATATACAATCGCAAGTAGATTAAAGCTATTATTTTGTAGTTTCTTCAATACATTTAAAGCACCAATAATGGCCGGAATTCAGTGATAATTTCAACTTTATACGTTGTAATTTTGTAAAGATTTTAAGATTACAAATTACCAAGATTGGAAATATCTCCAATTTGGGATTATTTAGAATCCATAACTTGATATTGTTTTGATTATTTGGTGTTTTTGCTCATTAGAACATAAAAAAAGATAAAGCAAACATTTAAGATAAATTCAGTGATCTTCGATTCTTTTTCTTTATCATTGTTAATTGTATATGAAAATTGTACCCGAGAGTAATCTTATATGAGATTTTGGTACCTTTAACGATCATTCCATATGCTCATCAGATATCTTAGCCAGATAACGCAGAGAAATCATGATTGCAAACTCGATAAGTAAATTAATAGTTTTTCTCATTTTCAACTATTCATATCCTCAATAATGACATTTTCTGAACGTTATTCAAAAAGGTAATTAGATGCGTATTTCTATTATGAACGAATATATCGTCTCAAAGTCACGTGTTCTATTGATGACGTAAGCAAGTTATCCATGTCAAATTATCCTTTTGACAGCAGCACTACTCAAATTAACATATAAAAAATAAAACAGTCATAGTTTTTGTATATTTATATCATGCAAAACTGAATTTATATATTTTAACATGTCCGTTTAAAACAGTTGGCGACATATACATTATCGAGAATAGATGATATTTTCAGGATATTTTTTTTATAAATTATGAGTCGATAAAGGTCAAACTGTTATGCATAAAGGTAATGTGCAAAAATACATCAGTCTGTAGAATGCAGACCAAATAAAATGTGTACCACGTCTAAGTATTATTTCCAGAAAGAGCTGCGGATGTGATGTCACAGTGGGCCTCTTGTGACCCAGTAGTCAAGGGAACTTGACTTTACATATCCTAACATATAACAACAGTCTGCGTGGGTATGTAAGAAAACTTGCCAGTAGCTTCCTGTCGGTCAATGGTTCGTCGCAGAGTTTTTCCGGGTTCCAGTCTGGGGCTTGGTCAGCGTGGGTATGTAAGAAAACTTGCCAGTAGCTTCCTGTCGGTCAATGGTTCGTCGCAGAGTTTTTCCGGGTTCTTCCTCCACAGGATTTTATACTGACTGCCATGTAAAGCCTGTTATGTTAAGACCACCACAACCACAACCACCACCACAACAAGAATGTCGCCAGAAGAGAACATGAGTTAAATTAGTTCGTAGCACCTGTATAAAGTTGTAATCTACAGTTTCGTGCTTTGAAAAGGGTTTCATTTTTAAAGCAAGAGAATTTCCTAGGAGTACCGCACTGGTTTTCCTGATTATTTGAAAAGTACATTATATATTTTAGGCATATTTGTTTAAAAAGACGTTGAATTCCTCTTTTTTTGGCGTGTGATTGATGGGTGTAATTGGGTCATATAACATACGGCATGGTCTTTCTTCAGATACACACCTATAAATTAAATGCTAGCTTGGTTTTTTTCATTTCTTGGACTTCAAAGGTTAAATTATTTACTTTTGATTATTTTTTAATCCATTTAAAGCATTTTCAGAAGATGGTATTGTCTACTCTTGCAAAGTTCGTTTTCTCTTTTTTAATAACTATAAAGTTAGTATTCTGTGGACTAGGCCAGTCTGATTTTTCGAGCACGTGGGAGAAGCAATTTTGATCGATGGTGTCTGTAGGTCATGCACGATTTCCTTACCTACAACATGTAGAAGAAATTTCAGCCACAGCACATGAAATCATTATAGAGTTATGCCGACATTCTTTTCATTTTTCACTTTGAAAATGTAAACAACTCCACCTTACATCTGCCACTCTCAAATGTATGTAATTTTCGGTGAGCGCAACCTGAAAACGTCATGGTTCGGCCATGTGGCTATTAAATTTCGGCCTATAACAGGATAACCTAAACGGTCATAACATTGAAGAATGTTAAATAAAGATAACAAAAGTTTAATGAGAACTAATATATTGAAAACAAATTGAAAGGTAGAACTTCCTTTTTCAATTCGTAATAAAAGCTGCAGAACTGTTTAGTGGCCATGTGGCGGTTATGGTGTCTATGTATCAATCATTTTTAGTTCTCTTACAAACTGCCCCTCAAACATATAAAAAATCGTTCTTTTCCAGGCATTTTCAGAAATCAATATGCACCAGACTCAAGGAAAAATAAACTTATAAACAAGAATATTTAATTTAATTTGTGTGCATTATTGAGACACGAAAGAATTGGGAAAATAGAAATAAAAAGTAACAACTAATAGCAGTGGTTGTAAAAGAGGCACAAAAAGTAAGGAGTGCATTTTTTTCATCCGATTATATTCAGGAGTAAGAATCCACGCTTTGTGTTCTTTTTGTGCGAAATCGATTGTTTCATCTTTCGCAGATTGTACTCTTTATGCTAACGACATATTTATTTGTAAATTCCACAAAAATCTGGGTGTAAAAAGATCTCCCATGCATTCGA